GATGTGCAATAAATCAGACCTGGGAATAGTGAATGCTTGCATGGTATCTTGAATATGATAGGAATTCAAACATTTGTTTAATGAATATATTCTAAATTTTAATATATGGAAAATATTCCAAAAACATCTTCCACTAATAAAAGAATTTCTACTTTAAAGTGTGAATGATGAACCACAAAGCAATGAAGTTATTGTGAATAAAAGCAAAAATAGTTTTGCAACTTTATATTTGAGGTACATAAAACCCAACAAATTGCACAGGAGCAAACAGAAATTAAAGACTCTGTCAAATGCAATTTCAAGCAAGAGGAAAATTATGATCTTTAGCTTGCAGAGTGACATGTTCTATTACTCAGTTAATCCTATGAAGTCAACTCTTTGCTGTCTTTACCCTCTTCTCAACTTTCATACCAATAAAAAGATACTTGTAAAAGTGATTCTTTCTGTAAGATTATTCTCAGTAGGCAAAGGTTGCTTTACTTATGAACTTATGAAACCTTATAAAGTAAAGACAACAAATTTACCAGCCTCCTTAAAAAACAACACCTTGCAGCACTCCTTTTTGGAGGCATATTGATAAGTTATAGGAAAATACATTTGTGTACTTATCTGGTATACATACAGGCTAAAAGATGACTCACTGACAATGGCTAAACTGGGAAGACAATATTCATACTGTTACTCTCTCCTTAATGGTAAAAATAAAACATTCTTTTTCTGAAGGGTACATTTTGAGTACATGCCTGTGGTCCAAGTTTCAGAGCCCAAGTTCTAGTCCTATACCTAACTGTTCTCTATCAAATTTCCAATCTTTGTACCAGAAATAACCATTCTAACTGATTAATATAGTTGGCCCTGGAAAACTAGAAGAAATGAAATCTAATCTAAAACTAAATCAATGGTATCACCACTACCAAATAACATTTGCCAATATTTACTAGTAATGATGTCCTTCCATTTCAAGTATATCTTGGCTTTTGATTCCTATTCAATTTCACAACACTGCAGATGACTCTACTGTATTCTTCTTCAAAAGTGTCCCCAGAGGACAGTAAAATTATAAAATCACACCCACACACAGCATGTGATCTTGGGTGCTACTACTTGAAATGCCACATTTAAAATAAGGTTAAGAATATATTTAAAATAATTTCAAGATAATTTAAAGATGGCAAAGTATCTTTTCACTTCTTTATAAGAATCTAATTTAATTTTATCATATGCAAGATATATCATACAACTCCAATTGAGGCAGCTGTAAACACACGTAGAAAAATAAATATAAAACACCATTTTGATTGGGTTTTCTTGGCAATATGTAGTACTTCTAACTTTTCCCATTCAAAATGGACCATCGATCTACTGTGAAGAATCCTAGGATGGTATTCTTTATGTAATTTAAATGTTAACTACTGAAGGAATGTTTGATTTGTTGACAGGGAGGAAGGATCAAATTCATTGAAATGTAGAAATACTTTTTACAAATCATCATAATTTTAAAATAATTATGGGATCCAGAAATAATTAAGGTTATGAATGTGGCACAAAGCAGGAATTAGAGTACATTAATCTATAGGTCTAGCTTATATCTATACTGGGAAATCAGAAAACTAACAAATGACTGTAATATTGCTGTTGTTTTTAAAAGGTATTTCTACAGAAATGGCTAACAAATATCAGATTTTCAAAAAAATAAATAACTATCTTGAACAACTCAAAATAAATAATTCTACAAATGCAAAACCATATCCATTGACTGCAGAACAGGAAAATGTCATACATACACTCAGAAAATGGTGAATAGATCAGGATCTCACACAGTGAGCTGCTACAAAAATTTGGTTCAGGAAAATGCCATTTTTAATCTAACAGAAAACAACCAAATACCAACATGCTGGTAGAATTTTTGAGATTCATAAGTGAGAATGGGCAGGATAAACAATAGGGAATCTGAAAGGTATGCACTGCTTGTAAAAACCAATGTTTTAAGTCAAAAATCTTCATTCTCCTTGATACCCCTCTTCTTTCTAGGTTACATGCACTACTCTATTCTGATTCTCCAACTACCTTACAGCTCCTTCTCAGTCTCTTGGGCCAGGTCACTTCGACTCACTCACCAGGTCTCAGCCCTGGGCACTCTTCTCTTTTCCCCTAAACTATTTCACTAGGTGATCTATCTCATCAGCTCCTACGGTTTTAATTATCATCTCCATGGTGATGATTCTCAGATCCATTTATCCAGCCCTAACCTCTCTCCAAATGTTTAGACTTGAATCTCCAACTGCCTATTAGACATCTTGAACTAGATGTCCCACACATATAATTAGATTCAACATGTCCAAAACTGAACTTGTTATCTTCCTCCCAAAATTTACTAATTACTCTTGAAGAAACCATCATCCTTCCCGTCATTCAAGCTTGTAAGCAAGGCGTCATCCTTGATTCCTCACTCTCATCCCTCATATCCAATCTATTGCTAAGGTCTGTTGATTTCACCTTTGTAACATCTCCAGAATAATACTTTCCCTCCTTTTTTTTTTTTTGGCTAGGCAGTGGGGTTAAGTGACTTGCCCAGGGTCACACAGCTAGTAAGTGTTATGTGTCTGAGGCCGGATTTGAACTCAGGTCCTCTTGAATCCAGGGTCTGTGCTCTATCCACTGCGTCACCTAGCTGCCCCAATACTTTCCCTCCTTACCTCTGACCCCACCACCACCCAGGTCTAGGTCCTTATCACTTCACATGTGGACTACTGCGACAGCCTTCTGGCTTGATTCCTTGCCAAAAGTCTCTCACCACTCCAATTCAATCCTCCATTCAGCTGCCAAATTAATCTTTCTAAAATACAAGTCTGATTATGTCACTATCCACTATGCAATAAACTCCAGTAGTTCCCATATTACTATCAGGGTTAAATGTAAAATCCTCTATTTGGCTTTTAAAACTTGTCACAACCTGGCTCCCTCCTGCCTTTCCAGTCTTCTTACACCAATTTCCTTCCCATGTACTCTGCAATCCAGTGACATTGGCCTCCTTGCTGCTTTTTTCAAGACACTCCATCTCCCAACAAGGCATTTTCACTGGCTGTTCCTCTTGCATGGAATGATCTTCTTCATCTCTACCTCCTGGCTTCCTTCAAGTCCCACCTAAATTCCCATCTTCTATAAGGAGCTTTTCTGTATTGATTACTTCCAATCTATCCTGTACATACCTAGTTGTTTTCATTGTCTCCCCCTTTACACCGTGAATTTCTTGAGAGCAGGGACTGTCTTTGGACATTCTTTGTATCCTCAATGATTACCACAGTGTCTGATACTTAATGGGGCAATGAATAGAGCACCAGTCAGAAGTCACTTAACCTCTGTTTCCTCAGTTTCCTCATCTGTAAAATGGGGTTAATAAAAGTACCTACCTCCCAGTTGTTGAGAGGATCAAATTGAGATAATTGTAAAGCATTTAGCACAATGCCTGGCATGAACTAAGTGTTATATAGATGTTAGCTATCGTTATTAAAAGATTTATTTTTCAATAAACATTGAGATCACTTGGCAAAATCACAACCAAAAAGGGAAGCATGAAAGTTATCTCCACACAACTAAAGGATGTGAATACGTAAGACAAAGGAGGGCTAGAAAAGTTTTCTAAAGACTTATCATGATATATTTTACATATATTTCCATTTTTTTCTGGCAAAAAATAAAGCATCACTATGGATATTTAAAATGAAATTGTGAGAAACACATTTTAAAGGAATCTGTTTAGAACATTTTTTTCTATAATTTCAATACTAAATGTCATCGAGGGCAAAGAAACTAGGGGTTTTTTTAAGTACCACAAAACTCCCAGAATACAGTAGATCAAAAATGCTGAATATTCAAGACAACTATGAACTTTTGATCCAAAAGATTTCAAAGTACAAGATTTACCAGAGAGGATTTCTTTCATTCTCACCATCACCCAATGAAGCTAAAGATAGATGATTTTACTCACTATTTTAACATGGACTAGAAAGATATGTAGCCTAGAGGGAAGACTACTCTTTTCCGGACCTCAATTTTCTCATATGTATATGAGGGGTTTGGATTAAGTATATGAGGGGACACATGGCCTAGTGGCAAGAGTACTGAATCCAGACTTCAAAGAAAGAGATCCTGGGTTCAGATCCCAGCCGGACAAAAGTAACTTCATCTCATTGGGCCTTAGTTTCGATAATCATAGGGATGAACAGCTGCAGTATCTAGTTCACAGGACTATTGTGAAGAAAGTGCTCTACAAATCTTAAAGTGCTTTATAAACGTACATTACTCATTTCTAAGATCACTTCCAGCTCTAAATCCTGTAAATCTATTTGAAAGAATCCTGTCCAGGGAAGCAGAAGAACTGAGTAGCCCCAATTTTACCACTCACTAATCTGATGTAGCCTTAAACAATACCCTCCAGACCTTTCGGGGCCTCAGTTTTTCTAATGGCAAAATAAATGGGAAGGCTGGATTCGATAGATCATAGAATTTGGAACGGGAAGAGCCTAGTCCAGCCCTTCCCTCATTTCACAGAAAAGGAAACAGAGGCCCAAAGAAGAGGAGAGGCTTGACCAAGGTCATACAGATAGTAAGTAACAAAAATGAAGTTCGAACCCAGGTCCTGTGACTAAAATTAGTGACTTAACATCCTGTTACCAGTCTTTAAGATTCTTTCCGGCGCTCAATCTCGAATGCCCCTTCCCCGCTCCAGCGGCTCCCCACCTGCAGGAGCTTCGCGCCCCAAACCCCCTTTCCCTTCTTCTCCCGCACCCCGGGTCCCTCTTCCCTCCGCCCATTCCACTGCGCCCCCGGCAAGCCCCACCCCGCCCCAGTCTCCCTCCCTCGGCTTCCCCAGCGGTCCCTCCCCCGGGCCGGCTCGGGCCGCTCCCCTCCCCGACGGGCGCCCCTCCAATCTTTCCTTCCGCCCTTCTTCCCCTCTTCGAGATCCCCGCAAAGCAGACGGCCGGGGCCCCGTGACTGACTTTTCGTGGTCTCCCGTGGGACGGGGGCACGGTCTGCGGCGCGGCGACTCCTTTGTGACAGCTCCGGACAAGCGATAAAGATGGACGCGCAGCCCCGGCACTGCCATTCCGCGTTGAGCCCTCCCCCACTCCGTAACGCCCCGGTCCGCCTTCCCTCCCGTCCCCTAGGAAACACCCATCTCACTCCCTGTTGGCCTTTTCCAGAGTCAACCAATCGGTATCCAGGTAGCATGATCAGATGACTCTCCTCCTGCTTTGCCCCCTCCCTCACCTAAACTAGCCAATGCTCACGCTAAAGCGTGAAAAATCCAATCAGGTTGCCTGGACTCTAGGTTGTTGTATGGAGGAGCCGGGCTCCCATTGCTCAGTCCTCGGCAGCCGGGGAGGAAGAGAGAAAAAGATAGGCCAATCTGCCTCGGGGAAGGCGGGTCCTATGGCGGACGAAAGGGAGCGGAAGCCCTAAAGGGTCAAAAGCATTCAAAAAGCAAAGTCGGAGGGGAAAAGTGAGGCCTAGGTGGCGGTTGAGGAGGGTGGTCGCTACTGAGGGGGTCTCGGCTGAGGTGTGCAGGTAGGTGAGCGAGGCCCGGACTGTGGTGGCAGAGGCCGCTTAGGCGGCGAGGCCTGCACTCCAAGCCTCTTTTTACGGAGCAGACAGACTCATGTGGGAAGCGACGGCTTTACTGTTATTGAGACTGAGGAACTGGGGCTTGCGGGGGAAAGACATGAGCTGGGGGCCCCTGAGGAGACGCGGGGATCCCGCCCCGGCCTCGCAGGGTGCGTGACAGGGCAGGACGGAGGCGCCTCTCTGAGTAGCCTGCTGCAGCCGGGTCCCAAGCGAGTTGACTGCCTGAGCGAGGAGGGGCCCCAAAGGAGATCCGGCCCCGGGGAGGGGGCTCAGAGGGTCTTAGTGCTCAGAGAAGGCGGAGGGTCCTCCTGGCTGAGGGGCCCAGAGCCCTGGATGTGACTCCCGGAGAGCCAGAGCGGCTCCAGGCTTGGCCCTAGGCCTCACGAGCGTGGTGCTGGTGCTTTGAGCTCAGCTAGGATTTATTAAGCATTTACCCCAGAATCAAGCGCGTCTGTCCCGAAGCCAAGCATGGAAAGGCCGGAGCTGCTGGAGGAGATGAGGAGGAAGAGCAAGACCTGGTGCAAGAGGCCTAGACCAGTATACCAGCAAGCCAGGGAAAGAGTCATAATAAGTACAAAGAAGAGATAAAATGTTGCAGGGTGGGGAGTAGGAAAAAGGTATATTGGACAAAGTGGTGTTTAGCTGGACCTTCAAGGAGAAAGACTTCAGCAGAGGGGAGTGGGGATGTCAATCAGTAAACATCATTAAGGACTTACCATGTGCACTGTGCAAAGTGCTGGAGATACCAAAAAAGCAAATGACAGTCTGCCCTCAAGAAGCTTCACATTCTAGGAGACAGCATGCAAATGACTGTGTACAAACTAGCAATTTACAGGATAAATTGGAAATAACGGAGGGCAGGCATTAGAGTTAAGAAAAAGGATGGAGAGGGAAATTCCAGTCTAGGACTAGGGAAACGGTTTAAGCAAAAGAACTGAGAAATAGAAGTATAGGGAGGATGGAACCTAGAATAAAGGAGAGTTAGGTGTATGAGGAAAGGCTGGATCCTGATTGTGGAGGGTCTTGAATGTCTGGATTTAGAATAGTAATTAAATGCCAGGGCAAATTACATTTTTTCCCTCCTTGATGATAAATATATTTTTTTAAGTTATGAACCACCACCACTACCCTCATGCCCCTAAGGAAGAGGAAAAACAAACCCCTTGTAACAAATAAGCATAGTCAAGAAAAACAGATTCCCATAGTGATCATGTCCAAAAATGTCTCATTCTTCATATTTAATCTGTCACCTCTATATCAGGAGGAGGATAGAATTTCTCATCATTGGTCTGCTGGAATCATGATTGATCATTGCATTGGTCAGAGTTCTTAAGTTTTTCAAAATTGTTTCTTTTTATAATATTGATTTTTATAGTATATTTTTCTTGTTCAGTTCACTATACTCTGCCTCTCAATCCACACACATCTTCCCAGGTTTCTCTTATTTCTTCACTTATTACAGCATATTCCATTATATTCTTATGCCATAATTTATTCAGCCATTCCATAATTAATGGGTACCACCTTAGTTTCCAGTTCTTTGCCACCGTGAAAAGAACTGCTAGAAATATTTTTGTACATATTTTCTTCTTTCTTTGATCTCCTTGGGGTATAGGCCTAGTAGGGGTTGCTGGGTCAACAGGTATATACATTATAGGAATTTGGGGGGGCCTGGTTCCAAATTGCTTTCCAGAACACCGATTCACAACTTCACCAACAGTGTATCAATGCGCCTGTTTTCCCATAGCCCTTAAAACATGTCATTTTCATTTTTTGTCCACTTTGTCAATCTGATGGGAGTGAGGTACAGCCTCAAGAGTTGCTTTAATTTGCATTTCTTTGTTAATGATTTGGAGTATTTTTTTCTCAAGACTTTAGAAGCTTGGATTTCTTTCTTTGAGGACTTCCAGGGCAAGTTACTTACTCAACCTCCTATGAAGCTCAGTTTGCACATCTGTAAAATGAGGCGAAATCCCATAGACGTAGAAGGAAAGCACTTTGTAAAACTATAAAATGCTATACAACTGTAAAAATAACAGTTAATGATGTCTGTCAACTGACCTGGGATGAGATTCTTGGCTTGTATGTTAAGTAGAAGGGTGAAGTGGAAAAGAAGACTTAAAAAGTATTTGCCTGAATTAGAAAGTGGATATGCTTCAGAGCCTAGAAGACCTGGGTTTAAGTCCTTCCTGCCTCTGGCCCACATACTGGCTCTGTGATCCTGGGCAAGTCACTTAACTTTTCAGTTCCCAGGCAATCAAATCACTAAAACTTGCAGAACAATTATCAATAAAGGTAACTTTCTTACTTGCAGTTACCTGTTCCTGAAACCACTCATTTCAACCTCATGACAACTCTATGTAGATTATAATGGCATTATGTTCATTTTGCAGATGAGGAACTTGAGGCTCAGAGGTTAAGTGACTTGCCCATGGTTACACTTCTATTAAGTGGTAGAAGTAGGTCTTTCTGACAAAATCCAGGATACATTCTTTACGTTATATCCTGCTGCGGCTCCACCTATCTTTACCACTAAGCCTGGAAGATACTTAGAGGAAAATACATCCTAATATAGAGGCTCTGTAAACTGTTTATCCGGTGGTCAAAAGTCATAATTTATGTTTATATATTTGATACAGATTAAGTGATATTGAAGTTTTTTGATATTTGAAGTCTGTTTATTAGTGTGAAAAAGTAGTACAATAAAGTAGATATAGAAAAAGCTTGCCTAAAGTTTTTATTAAGCCTTTTAAAATCCTGGAAGAAAAGGGGCAGTGTAAGTAAAGACAGAATTGTCTTGGGCACAGGACATAGAGCTCAGATGAAGGTAGCTTTGTAGACTTCCAAATTGAGCCCTTTTAGATATTTGCAAGAGCCTGAAGCAGAGACTAACTTTTGGAATAAGCCTAAGATCTTCCTCCTTTTACTTGTTTGAGAGGAAGAAGGCTGTGGTAAATATGAAGAATTTCAGATAGCAAGCAAGCTGTAAAAAAATTTTAAAATTTCAGCCATTGATTTTTCTCTCCCAGGAATCGTGATATTTTAAGATCATGCTACTTGCACAAATCAAAGTTTAAAATAAGCTCTGGTATGTGAAGTAGTAATTTGGTACAGAATGCTCTGCTGCATTATTTAGACCTAGTCTTTCCCACGTTTCATACCTTTGTGCCACTCTTACTCAGCTGCTTCAGTGTGTCCTATCTTGGACTACCCTTTGAAAAGCCCTTAATGCTGTTTCTGATAAAAATTTAGTGATATGCAATATAAAACTTTTGTTGCTCTCCAGGACATCATTAGCATAACAACTTGAATGAAAAGTTCTTTATTTAATAGAATGGATACAGCTACTGTCTCTTTACTATAAGCTGTCATAGTAATTGACCTTATTTGCCATGTCCTAGCTGCCAAATCTTATACTTCCCTGATCCTTCTTCCTAAATGTTCTCTTTCTCTTCATAATATTTAGCTTGAAATATCTCTTATTGCAAGATTACATTTTTGTGTCTTGTGTTGTAGTTATTTGTGTAGTATCTTGCCATAGTAAATTGTCAGACTCCATAAGGATAGACATTATTATGTCTTATTTAATTTTGTATCTCTCACAGCATTGAACAGGGACCAAATATGGAGTAGAAGTTCATTATATTGACTATATGGGTGTGATGTTTTTCACATGAATCATGTCTTCTTAGATATTTCCTGGATTTCTTATCAGTTAGTATTATTGAGAACAATGTAAATCTTTTCAGCCATTCTTAATGATGGAAAATTAATATGTAAACTTAATATGATTTATTCTGAGTACTGTTAGGATTGCTTGAGTCCTACACTATAAGCGCATCTTATATTTATGTTTAAAATGCCTTTTATGTTAAAATTATCAAACCAAAATTCATTTTCTGGAGTTAGTCTCCTACTCATAACTAACTTTAGGCCTCTGCCCAAACTTGCCTTTGGAGTATACTATGTACCTAGCAGGAGTGTGTGATTAGCAGAGGATTACTTTGTCTAGTGTTAAATGCTAACAAAGGTAAAAAAAAAAGTGGCAAATGAAGCAGTCTGTGGTAGAGAGGCAGTTATTTGTAAAATAATTATAGGTCAATCGAAATATCCTCCAACCAGAATCAACTTTTATTTGGAATAAAATTTTGTTTACCGTCTGGCCCAGTTGCTGTCCTGCATTTTAAAATTGTAAGTGATTAGGTCCAAAGAACATTGCAAGAGAGAGGAATATACTAGTATATTTTCAAATAAATAGAGTAGTTTGTTTGGCCTGTCTGACCTACTACTGGAATTGAGGCTGAGAACAGCAACTCTGAGTTCTTAATCTTAAGCCCTTTCCAAGTATTTTTCAACATTTAGTCTAATTTTAGAAAACTATTACGAAGTTGAGACAGGGTCATGTCCATTGATAGGAACAATGGAGATGTTACCATACTCTATAAAGACATTATGGAATTGTTTCCATGGAGTGATTTTTTTTTTAAATCACACCTGTAATCCCAGCTACTGAGGAGGAGGCTGAAGCTAGTAAATCTCTTGAGCTAGGAGGTCTGAGCTGCAGTGGGCTATGCTGATCAGGTATCTGCACTGCATTAACATGGTGAGCCCTCAAGAGCTGGGGCTAGGGGATGAGGAAGGCACAGGACTGGCCCAGGTTGGAAATTTTCAGAACTTCTGTGCTGAGTAGTAGTGGGATTGGGTTGTGAGTAGCTCCCTTATACTGCCAGCCTGGACAAGATGGGGAGACCTAGTCTAAGAAGAAGAGAAAGGAGAAAGAAAGAAAATAAAAAACCAGCATTATAGTGAGGTTAGCAATTAAATATCTTTGTAATTTGAAGAGTGGACTATATAAAATCCTGAATTAGTTCTAGTGCAGCAATTTGGAAATAAAATCCTGTACTCTGATTTAGCCATGTTAGTATAATAATCAGACAGTATTT